AATAGGCTGAAAATTACGCGACTGAATGGTTGGAAAATTCTACATATTTTACAATATATCGCCCGAAAATAGTCGTTTAAATTAATTATCTTAATTTATGTATACCAAAATGTGATAAATTAATTCAAGTGAAATTCAACAAGAGCACTTTCACTTTTTATAATTATATTAGAATTACATCTTTAAATATGTAAATAAGTAAATTTATATCAAGTATACATTGTTTTAAATTTCTAATTTTTTATAATTTATAAAATGTTAATATTTATGTTAATATTAATATTTATATCAAGTAAATCAATATCGAGAACACTACAATACTGTTCATTAAATATTTATGAAAGTATAATCTACAAATTTTTCTCGAAAGATTTATCACGAACATGTGGTGCAGTAGTTTAAAATAAATTTCGTTCAGAGAGATACATTTTTTTTTATAATTATGTTCAAATTACTTCTTAAATATATAAATAAATAAATAAATGTATGCGTATATTTATAAGTATAAATATTTTATATAAAATTTTTGTATCAATTTATATCAAGTATATTAACATCAAAAAAGTTATCGTCCAGTAAAAAATATTTATGTAAGTTTGACCTGCAAATTTTTCTCAAAGGATTTATCCTGTAGCGCAGTAGTTTAAAATAAATATTGTCAAATAAATCAACGCGATAATAACGAACGATATAAACGAATAAAATGCCATTTTGAAGAGTTATTAATTTATGCTCGATTTTCGCAGAGTCTAATTCCATTCCGGTCATGAGCTACAACCTTTTGCCGAGCTTTTAATTTCAATTCCGATAAAAACATGAATGTTTTCGGTAGGCGTTTCACATCGGTCTTCCATCTTCGTTCGACGAGCTTTTCTCAAATTTAAATGTAAACGGCAAATTTTAATCGTCCTGACAACTCGATCGAAAGCTTTCCAATTTGCAACTGCGCGGAAAGTGAGACGACGATGCAACCCACAAAAAGAAAGTATCGATTATCATTTCTTCGAATTGATTTAACAGAGTATTTTTTAATCATTTAAATATATAATTTCAAACTTATTTATACCACGGTTAAATACAACTTATACAAATAATATAAATTATTGCGACATATATCGAAATCTGCGATATTGATTTATGACCTTAATGCAGTTAAGTCGGAAAAATCACGTAAATTAAAGATTTTATCCTTCGTGAAATATTTATATTCAATTAGTTTTTCGAAAATTTATTACTCAAGTACGATATAATTAGCAAATTTTTGAAATATTAACAAAGCATGTATTGATGATGTGCATGAGGGCTTAATGAATAAAACAAATTGATTTCAATAATTCGTACGGCAAACCGGTTAACGCGGAAATTGATTTCAATAAATTGAATGGCAAACCGGTTAACGAAAATTTGATTTCAGATTCATTTGTACGTTTAATTTCGAAGGTTATAACGCCAAGACAAATAGAGATTTCAAATTAAACTGTCTGCTAAAAAAGTTCGTGTAAGGAATTCGTATTTATTTAGAAATGCCGACGACAGAATCGCGCTAATAATATACGATTATCTGACGAAAATTTTGGAAACATATTTTATATATCTTATACGATCGCAAAATTGACTCGTTAAATTCTCAATTAAATGCGGTTTCTCGATATGATTGCCAATAAAAAGAGATATACACTTTGTATTCTCCATCAACTTAACGGTGCTAAGATCAAAAGATAATTTATGTAATTTGATTATACAAATAAGTGTACATAAAAAAACTTAATATTTTTTTATAAATAATATGTATATCTTGATTTATACAATTAACGTATTCAGAAAATAGAGAAATTTTTGTATATAACTATATAAAACATAAAATAGAATTTAAAAAATTTTTTAAAGACACGAAGTGCTTTAATATATTTAATATAAATCTAATAATCAAGATTTTTTATGTACAATATATATACATAATAAAGACATATGTTCAAATAATAATTATGTAAGACACAGAGCAACATTAATATTTATTAGTAAAAGGGAAATATTGTGGCAATTGTTTTATTCGTTCACTTAACGATTCATTAGCGCTGTGATTGTTAAATATTTGCGCATAATACAAAGAAAAGAAGAAAAGCAAACAGCTGTGCTCGATTCGAGAGTAATCCTCCCTCAAGGTTATGGCGAAAAGAATTCCACGGAAGAAAAAGAAGTAAAAGGGAAATCAAGACGTATCGTGCGACGGTGAGAGCGAAAGCGGCCGTGCTGCTTTGACGATTTTTCTCGACGCGGAAACGTACCAAGGTTACGTGGACGCTTTGTTGCGTCTCACGCCTCAGGGCCACCGATTTCTCGCGCAATCCGTTACATCGAATCGCAAACCACGAAACGGCCGCCTTTACATAATAATATGTACGACCGACGAAAATCTGATGGGCGTAAATCCGCCATCATTTATCATTCTCGTCGTTATCTTTTTTTTTTTTTTTCGAGAAACTTATTTAAATGATAATATTTGTGACTGTTTCCGCTCCTTTAACTTGTTTAAGGCAAACTTTGAAAGGAGAGACTCACAAATTATCTTAAATTAGATAAAATTAAACGACCGTCCTTTTGTCACGCATATATAAATAATAAATAAAGATAAAAATGGAGAATAAATTCAGGATAAAATTGTGCTGAGAAGATAATTTCTCGAAAGAAAAGTCAAAGATACATAGAATAAAAGTTTTTGATGTAGTGCCGTTTTTCTTTTTCGAGAAAAAAAGTTTCACGTTGAAAGTAGTATCCGCTATTTTTTTTATGTATCGGAATTTATATGTGTCTATCGACTATCAAAATAGTCTTACAAATCCAACTTTAGAATCTGTCTACATGATAATACGCATCTATCATACTGATTTCATTTCGTCAGTTCACTGACCTTTCAAAATAACAAGATACAGTAATCGCGAATGTATTGAAACTTTTTTTTTAGACCAATAGTTCGTCCAGTAATTCTAAAAAAATGTGATTTGAAGAAAATTATCGCGAAACCTTTAATACATCACATATAAATAAATATATAAATATACATAAATATAAATAAACATGTGAATATATAAAAATATATAAAAAAATATAAATAAACATATAAGTAAATATATAATATTAATAAATATATAAATAAATATTCGAAAAACTAATGCAACCGACAAAATTTGGGGTATTGTTTACTTTTTTCTTCACAAAGAATCACGGCTTTGTAATTACTGGACACAGTATATATGAGGAGATTTATCGTAGGCGTGACAGGAAACCTTTTCCCCGGTATCTTTAGTTATAATTCCCAGGGCTTTTCGTCCTTCCCTCGCGTACATCTCGGCCCGTAATCTCCTCGCGAACGGTAGCAGCCGATTTTACGCCGAACCTCCTGCTAAGATCGTAAAAGCGCGCGTCGGAGACGGAGTCCGAGCGTAACCGAGACAATTTTTTTTTCTTCATATACACACTACTTGCGTGACACGTATGTACGCACGAGTGTATTACACATACGCACGCCAAGCGACGACGACGATGCCGTCTACAGGAGGGAGAGACGTTTATCGCCCACGATCCGTCACCTCTGCCGCACATGCTGAAGAAATTAAAATTTTTTTGTCCGGTTTCCCCGAACGAGCCGTTTATCGTCGTTTCGGAATCGTCGTTCCCAAGACAGAAAAGAGACGGAAAAAATCGTGAACATCGAGAGACAGCTCAGTCGCGTCATTATAACATATATCTCCATCTATCCATGGGATTTGCGACCGATGGAAAAGGTTTCGCTTTTCTATAGATTTCTATAAATTTCATATAGATTTACTCACCAGCGCGGCTCTCGCTGGCGACCTTTAGCACCGCTGCTACCGATTTCCGGGCTCTTTGATCGGACAGGAACTGCGACACTATGCACCTATAAATAGAAAAAAATATAAATAATATGAATCTTTAAAATCAATATAAAATCAATATCAAGTATATGTAAATATTGCATTCCTTTGATATATATCGAATATCGATATATATGTATAATTTTTATACACATTGACATGTGCATGAAAAATCCAATCGCAAAATTTTGTAAGATTACTAAAATCCAATCGGAAAATTTTGTAAGATTAAGGTCCATTCTTCAATGAGTCATTAGTCGTTAGTCGTAAGCAAATTGACCAATCGCAGTCGATTATTTTCAGTTTGCTTACTAACTAACGACTAATGACTCATTGCAGAATGGCCCTAAGGGATATACGGTTTCAAAGATTCGAGAAAACGATTCATATGAATCTAAAAATCGGATGGAAAAAACGAGGTCTAAATATTTTCACCGTGCCAAATATTTTCCCCCGTCTGTATATTCGACAAAATAAACTGCGCGCACAAAAAAAAGGCTCTCGCGATCCCGAAAAACCGCGCGTGACATGTAAATAACACAGACGCGACATTGAACGCGTCATCGTCGAGAAAAACACGCGATGTAAAAAAATCCCTACGCGCCCGATACGTCGTCACAGCCTAACAACGAAATTTCTCTCTCTCTCGAGATTACATTTCCGCGAACCGGAAGCTTTTCCGCATCGTGTCGAATGCTCACCTCGTGCTCGAAGCTCGACGTCCGCTCTCGTTCGTCGTTAACCTCGCCTCTTGTGAAGGTTAGGTTTTCGCCGGCTCACTCGAGACAGCCGGCACGTGCCGGATGTCCAGCTATTCCGTCAAACGTCGAACGTTCGCGCGAATGATGCGTCTCGCGATGTCGCCGATCGTGCGCGAATCCGCGCAAACACGAGCACCCGCGTCTCCCGGACGCGATAAATTCACGTACGCGACAAATTTGACTTTTCGAACAACCGACCGTGCTCTCTCTCCTACCGGCGCGCGTTCCGTACACACCCGACGCCGCTCGCGCGCGTCTTTCCGTCCGCGCTTCGGCCGCGCTCGGCCAACTTCGGCGGCGCTCGGCTCGAGCGCCGCCGGCGGCGACGCGTGACGTCACGATGTTGCGTAGGCGGCCTCGTAGTCTCGACGCAGTTGATTTATTCGAACGGAAGAACGCCTTTTGTCTCGTCGTTTAGGTAAGCCAAAATATGAAAATTCTTCGTGTCAATAAACCTATCTTAATTTGGATACCTCAGACGTCATATGTTGTTCGCAGCTCGAGGAAAGGAGAGTGATAAATTACGGAATTTTGCGACTCGTAACAACTCTGACGACGCTAATGGACGCGTCCATAAAGAGTGAATTTCGTATATTCCCTTGCACAATAATATTCCTCGATCTTCGAAGATTCGCTATTCTTCGAAGAATAGCGAAAGATAATACTCCGGATGTGAGCTTGTGATCTGTGTAAAATTCGGAGTTTGCGATTCTTGATTTCCGAATTCACGACTGGGCATTATGCATCTCGTTCGAGCGTACTTTGAATCGTTTTGTTCGTGAGATTTGCGCGCGCAAATCTTTCTCATTCGAACCGCTTCTTCGAGGCTACATAGATTCCCGCTATTTCGCATCTGGAGTCCCCTAAATTCCTGAGATAATAATCGTTTTTAATATCTCGTGAACGACAGCATTCTTGTGGATCTCTTCAAGATTTTTCTATCCATTCTTCTATCCTTTATTTGTATCTAAATGTGAGTACTAAACCAAATTAATTGATAGTTATTAATTTCATATATTTAGAATATTATTTGCGTAGGTTAGGGATCAGGCTAGTGTTAATAAGATCGAAAAAGCTAAATTTATGATTATAATTTTATGATTGAATTTTGTTTAACCATAATCTCGTCTAGGATATTTTTATTTTTTACAGATTTCTAATTTATAAAAAAAACATTGTTATATAATTTATTGAGACCGAAATATTGAGATTCAATATGTATTAAAGTGAAATCCATTGCAAATTCTTAAAAAAAAATGTTTTTGTTTCTCGTATTTAGATAATTATTTTTATTAAGTTTAAATTCTAGAAAAATAGAAAAAATTCTTAATTAACTCAGTAATAAACTTTCGAGTACAGATAAAATTACAATATAAAATAATTTTTAAAGATTTTTACACAATAAATATTTATTATATATTACTATGTATATATAAATTATGTATATTAATATACATATATGTGCATAAAACGTAACAGCGATAAATATAAAATTTTTTTAAATTTCTTTTATTTATGCTCGTTGGGGAAAATAAAAAATTTCGCGAGCGAATACCCAGAAATGTTTATGAAAGTCAATACGCTATTTAGATTGACATTTAATTCATTGTTGTGACATTTACTTTCAGGAATTTACAAGGAAGTTGCGCTGCCGTACCGCTGGTCGAATTAAAATCTCTAGATTTCTTTCACGGCTTGAATATTATGTATCTGCAGGCATACCAAGTAAGTGTATAAAAAATAGTATTATAGTATTATAAAAATAATTTTTAAAAATTTTCGCACAATAAATAGTTATTACTATTATATATTACGACTATGTATATATAAATTACATATATGTGCGTAAAACGTGTAGCGTTTTTTTATTTATGTGATTTTGTTGGTGAAAATAAAAAATTTTGCGAGCGAATTTTAGAAATGTTTAGAATTTTAGAAAGTCAATACTCTATTTCGGTTGACATTTAATTCATTGTTGCGACATTTACTTCCAGGAATTTACAACGAAGTTGCGCTGCCGCATCGCTGGTCGAATGAATCGTTGGACTTCTTTCACGGCTTGAATATTATGCATCTACAGGCATACCAAGTAAGTGCATTAACAATAGATTATAATCTATTGCGTGCCGAAAAATATTTTGCTCTCCCTTTCGGTTCGCGTACGTGCTTGTGTACATGGATCTGGAATTCCTTTTACGCGCCGCAAATCGGCGTAGATCGATGGAAATGCACACCAGAATCATACAACACAGTAATCTAATGCATTATATATTCTGGTATTTCATAAATCCCGCAAAACACGTGCAGAACGTTTACAATCGTGAAATATTACTATACTGACTTATGTTCTTTGTCTTTTATTATGTTATATTTTGAATTTTTCAAATTTTTATTAAATTATTGAAAATTTGTTGTTAAAATTGTTGTCAAGATTAAAAAATTTTGGATGTCATATAATTTAAAATAAATAATAAATTTTTCTTGTATTATGAAAAGCTAATCTGTTTAAAATCTATTTAAAAAATAGAAGATAAAATAAAAAATTCAATAAGATGATAGTTTAAAGTTGTGGGATAAGTTGTGGGATAAGTTTCAAGTTGCACAAGCAGATTGAAAATATATTCTTCTTTTTCTGACAAACTTTCAGAAAAATTAGAATATATATTCTAAGAATACTCTTACACACGAGTGCGTTCTGTGCGATGGTTTTATTGTAAAAGCTTGGTGGTCGCGTTGGGAATTTAACATGACCTGACCTGTTTTGAGTAAAGGGGCTCAGCTTTACGTTAATTTTTTATAGCGCACTCTCACTGATGCGTACTCTTTTTTTTGCAAAACTTATTTAAAGCATTTTACGTTTCTCTTTTTTCTTTTTATTTCGCGTTTAATCCCGACAAAAACAAAGAGTCAATACTACTAACAACCCTTCACTTAATTAACTCTGCTTAGCGATTCCCTTCTAGATAACGAGATAAAATTCATTCAAGCATATTTGAACCAAGAATATGTAATCGTGTAGGGATTATGCGAAAGTATATCAATTATTTTATTATTTAATTATCTAAAAAATATACTTTTTAATTAAGTACTATATTAAAAATTAAAAGTTATATTTTCATATTATAAAAATTTGCACAATAAATTTACAGAAATAAAGATAAATAAAATTGTATTAACGTGCATAAAAAATTGTAAACAATCGAGTACGGACTTTTCAATGGAAAATGTGAATAATTAAATAATTAAAATTTTCGTAGTTTTTTTCTTGTATTATATTATTAGATTTATTTTTGATCAATGATAATATATAATTATAACAATATCCAGACGTTGCAAAGAAAGGATATCGTGCAACTTTAAAAAGAAGCTTTTTGCCTCATAACAAGTTACAATTGGCGCAAGGTTGCGAGATAGTAAAAAATATGAGAGTGCGTGGTCACATTTGCGTTGCAATAACATAACAATATCCGATAAAAATAATCACATGCAAATATTGCGCATTTGCGAAAGGAGTTGCAATAATAATACGAAAGAAAGCTTAAAATGCATTTTCTTCCGCTCTCCCTGTTGTTACACATAAGAAACGAGTCCCCGTTTGGTGACGAGAGTGAGAGTAATCCTGCAACTTTCGTTTATTCCCGCCTCGGCCTCGTGATGTCATAAATATAACCGTGTATCGTAATCCGAATTGGCATTCTCGCGGTGAAAGGTACGGCACGATGAGGTAAAGAAGTCAGTACTGGGAACGGAAATATGCGGAAATTATTTTTTGAGAAAATTCATTTAATTGTGAAATTTTGCTTTTATTTCATAATTTCTTTTTTTCAAAAAAGCCAAAAATATCCCATGTTACGTTTAAATATGTAAAACTTTTTTTTATAGTGAAGTAGCAATTTCTTTTGTAGCGAAGTAGTAATTATGAGAGAGAAAGGAAACGAAATATTCAATTTTAAACTAAGAATTATATAATGTTCGACAGATTGCAAAAGTTCGTCCTCTAACGGAAATAACGATTTCTCTCGTCCTACTTTAATAAGTTTATATTTCATTTAATTACAGCGGATTTAACTTCTTCCACGTTATTCGTTTTAACACTGATCGATCGATTGCGTGAGTAACGCGAGTGCTCTGTCGGTTTCCGAGAAGATTAAAATTTAATTTACAAATCGTTGTCGTAAAAATAGCGCAAACGAACTGATCTTCGGAGATAGACGAGGATTATGTCGGTCAATCTAATCTTGCTTTAAATACTTCCCATTCAGAATCAATTGTTGCCAATTTTCCAAGAAAATATATATCATGATCCTTGATAGATAAATATAGTTGAATATAATCTGATATCGTATTCAAAATTAAGTGGTTTAATTAAGAAAAAGGAGGATAATTGCACGATGAGATAATCGATTTAAATAATATAACATTTAATAGCATATAGCATACAAAAGTTTAAAATAAGAATGTGTGTGAGCGTCAATTATGACATTATTCTCGAACTTTGATTGAAGGGAGAAAAGATTTGCTTCTGCGAACCATTATGATGCTGTTACGCTAATGAATAACGGAGTTGAGTATACGCGCGTAATTAATGGTGCGCGTGTCGTCGTGCGATTTGCACAGCTAATAGTTTCCCGTAAAACCGGTATCCGATCGAAGTCCTCTCCTCCTCTGGCTCTTTTTCCGCGCGCGGATATTTTAGCACGCTGTGCATCAGGTTGCATCCTGTCGACGCGCAATTTCTGTACGCGACTCGGTTCCGGTTTAACGATCCCCCTCAAGCCGGAAACGGCGACTACGTAAGATACCGGATGTCGGTTTCGTACGTAAAATTCTTAGTGCCGGAAATCTCTGTGCGGGTGAAACGAGCGAAACGTAGCTTTGATCGACCGATCCGATCGTGAAAGCAATCGCGAGCGTGCCGACGAATATTATTATCGCGTAACGAATCGTTCGGATATTCCGGTTAGTCGCTGAGAATTCTTCCTCTAAGGCACGAGAGAGAGAATTATCTCTGTTCTATCTCGCAAGTGATTTCCGACAAGCAACCGGTGGTTGCGCCAACGAGGTCACGCCGCGACACCTCGCCCGTTTTCAACCCTTTGAGACACTGATGAAAGGTGCGAGATGAGGAGAGAATCGCAATGAAGTCGGCGCAATTTTTCATCCGGAACATTTATACATAATAGAGTGGATATTAATAAATTGTTCGCGCTGTTTTTCTTTGATCCGCGAAAATTAACGAGATATTTGTTTTTCAGTGGCAGCTTGACAAATTGCGAGGGCGAAAGTGTAGGTAGATAAGTAGGTAGATAAAATTAAACGCTAATATAATATATCCTATAGATGTAATATATCCGCATGACATAAATGATGAGAAATGAAAGAAATGTAACTTTATATACAAAGTAATATCTACAAAGTAATTATTATTCATTTTTATTTATTAAAGTGCAGGGATTTTCAGCGATTAAATAATTGCAATAGTTCGAATTTCGTGATTAAATGTTTGAGATTTGAAAAAAATAAAATTTATTTGTTTGTTTCGGTAAAGTGGCAAAATAAAATAAATTGACAATATATTGCTCGATATTTTTTGATGATTCTAATTTGAAAGTTCAAATCTGAAATTGTTTACATATTTCGATTCTGAAAATATATTTTAAATTTAAATTTTAGACAAAATCGTGCAAAGTTGGATGACCTGAGAAAAAAAATATATGTTTATTTTACTTGTAACAAATAAATCTTATATATATTTTCACTTCATATTTTCTTGGTATTTGAAAATTATCAACAATCGAGAATCTTCGAACATTACAATTAAATAGTTCGACTGTTCGTTGTGTTATAAAATATTCAAATTTGAAATTCTCGAATGTTTTAAAATTTTGCGATCCATTTGTGTTCGAGCCTCAGCATACAACGTTATAGTTAAGTAATAACTAAGATATTTGCGTCGATGTCTAAGTGGAAAATTTATTCGTGCAATAAGGTAATTTGTATGTCGTGAGGATGAATTCTCCTTAAAAGGCCGCGCGTCTAGATCGGAGAACGACATATTTATATTGGCATGGATATCTAGGCCAAGTAAAACTGGTTATGGAAAAGCCTTGTCTGACGTTGCTGCTTTTCTTTCGGAAGATGACCAAACTGGTTTTGACCTCGGCGAAGACGGCCTTCTATGCAGCTACGTTTGCGTTTGAACGTTAAGATCGCGGCTCATTCTTCGTTTCGTAAACGCGAATGCGAGTTACGTTTCCATCGTCGAAAAAACGAGAAAATATTGAAATAATATACGAAAAAAAACAAACAGTGAAAATAAGGCTTTATGAATAAGCAAAAAAAAGCATTTATGAATTGGTTCGGTATCAGGATCAAAATATTAATCGTCGTTTTCATGAAAATTTATAACAAAGCGGTTGTGTTTTTACTGAAACAATAACTTTATAGTTACATACTATGAATATTGCTGCAAATTATCTTTCATTGCACTTTATATAATGATATTATAAATTAAATTCGTTGCAATTAAAGAGTTACGCTAATAGTCTTGAAACAGCTTGAATAATGAATGATAATAAATATTAATCTGTACAATAAATATTACAGTGGATATGAAATATTCAAAAATGAGTTTTAGTAATTGTTTTTAAAGTGAACAGATTTTATCGTGTGAAAAATTGTATATCTTTTCAATTTTTTCCGCAGAAAAATAACGAAACAATAATTAATCGTTTATCTTAACAATTATATGAAAAAAAATTAATTCAATTTATGATGAAAAATTGTATTAGTAATCGCGCATATGAAAACAACTTATATTTTATATTTACTTATATTTTTACACATAAAATAAAATAAATAAAGCGTAAATAAAGCGATACATTACATATATATATATATAAAATATATGATAATATATTATATATTTATATATAAAATTGCAATTCAATTGAATTCAATAATTTTCGGAGTTAATAAAACAAATGGTTAGTACTGGGCTGATACAAAAGTACTATCTTTATTCTTCCGAAATGTGAATGGCCTCGAATCCGTGTTTTCGATTGAATTTAGCCAAGGACACGTGTACTG